GAAAAAAGATAAAAGCATATAAACGCGGATACGTGACAATGTTTCGACTGCTAAGATATTTTAAACAATAAATAATATGACTTTGTCTTTGAAAACAAATTGAAAGAATAAAAAGAAAAAATTTACATTTCAAATAATTTAAGCTGATTTTTGAAAGGAATTATGCGAATGACAAATTACATCTTCTAACTTAGAATAAACTGGATCCGCATCAAAATTAAGAACTGAACTGAAATTTATTTTACACAAAGGTAGGATATCAGAAAGAAGCACCAAAAGGACTTGTGGCATCCGGAGACACCTGATGATAACCTAAACTAAAAAGTTTCTCGTAAGAACAAAAAGCCATCTCGTTTTTAAAAAAAGAGTAACGATCTGATACATTTTATCGCGCTGTCGTAAAAGGTTTAACACCACCTTCTTGCTTGAAACGATCGTCCACGTTTCAATACGAATGACGAATGTTTTTATGAGCTAAGCACAGTTCTTTAGTTGATTAACTCACTTTCAATCGCATATGTAGCCCATAATTTTGACCACATACGAGTATTTGGCTCCCACTGTTATGTGATAACGGTGAAATCTCGATCAAGCGTCTGGCAATAGGGAAAATATACTATTGACAAATAACATTTCCCATAAACACCAAACCATTCTCACGTTTTGATACATTCTGATTAATGCCATAATTGCATTAATTAGATTTTTCGTTTCCGCTTACACAACATATGCAGTGCGGTTTTTCTGCATTAGAAGATCTCAAAAATTAGCCTCTTTTAGTCTACATGATCAAGAACCAACGACTACAGATGCCATCCTCACACACTTTTTGAGGCGGATGCTAAATGAGTCTCTGGTGTCTTAGCGTAGCGAGTTCATTACGGATCTTTTTCGTACGAAAAAACAAATATTTTGAAAATCATTCCAGGACATATAACAGCAAAACTATCGGGTGGCCATTAACAATGAGAAAATACGGTGTACCGAAATATGTTAAAAAGAAAAATATTAAACGACCAATATTTAAAATCAATTAAAGCTGAACTAATAAATATTTTTCTTGTTGTAAGATAGAAAAGTATGTAATTATTTTAAAATAAAGAGAATTATTGAACGGACTAATGTTGAAATAACGTGGAAAAATATTACTAGTCGTTTACTATTTTTCTTTTTAACACTAGTCTATAGAACCGAGAATATACAGGTGCCGAGCTTGATGATCGGAAGATTATCAGAGAATCAGCCACAAAATGTGATTGAAAAGGTACCTGTGTAATTCGTTTCAAAAACAAAAAGATCGATTCTTTTTAAGAAATGGGGTGTGTAGGTCTACGAAGTCGATGGGTGCAGCGATGTGTTTCTGTGGGGCATTGGGTCAAATTGGATAACAAGTAACGGATTTTGGTTACCGTTACTGGCAACAGGCAACGAAAAACTGTTACTTTTCAGAGTAAAGTAACCGGAAAGGCCCACCCCTATTGATGACCATAATCCTGCAAACACGGAAGCATCTTTCGCCTGGAATGGACCATCTTTGCGCTGTGAGAGAATATTCCTCAGCTGGAATTTCATTTTTTAGCTAGAAAAGCACGTATACTTCAGTATCATCGGTCTCATCTTTCCTGTTGATGACCATAAATCTGCAGACATCGATGCATATTTCCTCAGCAACTGATCATCCCTCCTCTGTGATAGAGCATTCTTCGGCTGGAACACGTATACTTCACTATGATCTGTCTCATCTTTCCCGTGGGTCACCATAATTCTGGAGACATTGGAGCATCTTTCCGCTGGAATGGACCAACTTTCCGCTCTGATAAAACATTCTTCCGCTGGAATTTGCTTTTTCGACTGGAAAAGCACGTGTACTTTACTGCCATCTTTCCTGGTGGGCATGACCATAATTCTGCAGTCATAGATGCATCTTTCCTCAGCAACTGACCATCCTTCCTCTGTAAATGGAAATTTAATGGTTTAATTATTAGAGATTATGAAGCAATACAAGATGCACAAGTACACAGCCTCACCGGTAATTTAGAACAGAGTAGTATTCTAGCACTGAATGCAACTGTTGATTTGAATATGATGTCTATTTAACTACATTACAAAAAGCATTGCATAAAAAGAAAATTAATCAAAATCAAATTGATCAAATATGTAGCCGAATTTTAATAGCCAAATATCAGTTAGGTCTATTTAATAATTCTTATCTTAACTGTGGTGATGATGACGGTGATAAAAATGAGGAACAAAAAAAAGCAACAGTTATTATCCAATAAACATCGTCTTTTAGCTAAAGAAATTGCAAAACGTTCATTTGTTTTATTAAAAAATGATGAAAAATATTACCAGTAAAACGTAGTACTAAAATTCTTTTAACCGGTTCATTGACTAATGATACACGTAATCTTTTAGGAAGTTGGTCAACTGCTGTTAAATCAGAGGAAGCAATATTAATTCTTGATGGAATTAAAAAGTTTTCTCATAATAACGTTATTTATTCAAAAGGTTCTAATTTATTAGAAGATAAAGCGCTAAATGAATTCAAGGCCCCCGCCGATTTTTGGTGAAAATTCACCTAACTCAAAATGGGAATAAAAGTATATGGTCAGATGCAGAATGAAAATCTGCATCGATTACTATTTTCCATTTTGTAAGAAATCACTTTGTTGAAAAACTATGAATTCTTAAAATTGTTCGGTTTTGCTGGAAAACAGGTACCGTCAATGAAAAAAACTTTTTCTTGCTTTTTACGTGAATATTACCATTCCAGTTTTGCTCTTAAAAACTGCCCGCGAGTACAGTCTATCTATTGCACATAAAATAATTGGAAAATTTTTTGTCCTAACTACTGAAAAGAAAATGTTTTATTCGACATGCCTACATCATTTAGGCCGTAGCGTCAATAAAAATCAAGTTTTATCACTCATTTTCCGCTTCTATTAAAAACTAACCCCATATTTGTAATCTGCGAATAAAACTGCATCGAATAGGCTATTTTAGAAGTGTTCTCTGTCTTACATCTAATAGCTATGGTAAAATTGTATCTGGAAAGTTAAATCTGTAAGGGAAGGATTAAAAGCTGACATGCCATTTCAATGGTAACATCTAACTAGACTTCTTACGCTTAAACGTTAATAACTTTATCTTTCTTCTACAAAAAAAATATACATGAGGAAGAGAAATTTGATACCAGAACGGTGTACATTAAGTTTTATTTGTAGTGATCGTAATTTTATGATTTATATTTTGTTAATCTTTCAGCTAGATGATTGTAAATGAACGCAGATGATGTGGCTGTTGATTGAACTTGAGCATAATTTAAATTTTTTGCTTGTTTTGATAATAATTTAACGCCTTCTGAAGCATTTACATCCGTTGCAAATTGCTCAGCTGACATTTGATGTCGTTGATCTCTTGTTTCTGTTCGTTGCAAATAAAAATGTGATATCATATGAATAACATTACCTTTACCACAGTCGAATGTAATCAAAACAGCGTCCGATTCATATTTTTCTCCTAATTCTTTTGATCGAATCAACACTCGAACATTTTGCTTATCAATAATTTCAATTGGATAACTGGATGATTCTAACCACCATAGAGGCTCGGCTAGTTTTGCTGCTGGCAAAAATCCTTTGACTAAATGATTATTCGGATCGGCTACTTGTATACCCACAACTTCATCGCCAGTAGTAGTACCATTGTGTCGTACTTTTTCAGGAAATGCAATTTGTAAAACATTAGCCAAAGCCCAATCAGTTGTGATTAACTGCCCACCATTTTCAACAAATTTTCTTAAATGATGAGCAACGTCTGGTGGAAATGAACTTGCACAATTGACATACACCGTTTGTTCTTCACGTAATGGATATGTTAAAAGATCGTGTTGCGTAACGGTTTTAAATTTAATATTAAGATTTTCTAATACTTGATGAATATGATCGTACGTTCCTGGTACTACTATAACGGTATCATCAGCCATTTCGTTGATTAATTTTTGTTCTTGTTCAGAAAGATTTTCTTTTGCCAAGGCAGCACCAACTTTATAGGCATCGCGCATATCACCTTGCCCTTCACAGTGATGATCGATGGATCCTCCTTTATCTGACTGTAATTGTTGTTGTTGTTGTTGTGAGGCATACACGTTTGCAGCAGGTACATCATTTGTGTTTTTCTTTGAGAAAAAACTACTGTATAAGTTGGACTAAAAGAAACACAAATTTCAATAGTTGGCTTACGTAAAAGAGTGGCTAAAGTATAGAAACAACTTTTACACTTACCATTTTGATACTCTTTATGATTTAATGTGTAAATGAATGTATTCTAGCGAATAACTTCTATTTATAATGCATAATAAAACTTTCACTCTTCATACGAAATGATTGTGCAATATGTAAGGTTATTTTTTTTATCGAAGAAAAATCTTGATACAAAGGAGAAATGATTGAGTCAACCTCACATATTAGAGTTTTTTCTTTTAGCGTATATTCGTAGCTGACATACAGAATTTCAATGAAAGATATAACCACCTAAAAAACCTTTTCTCGCATTCTTCTGTATATCACGGTGTAAATGAGTCATCGTGTATATATTTGCAAACAGGAAAAATGCGTCATTCTATTTTCATTGTTTATCGATAGAGAAATGACGTAATAAAATCAAAGTGGATAGACTAAAAACAAAAGAATAACCTGGCAATTCACAAGGCTGTAGTGTGTAACTGGAATTGACACTTCCTAAGCTTATTTCTTAATACAACCGGTTGTAATACCACTGTACAAATTTGAAAGTTAGTCGAAGAGATGAACCTTATTCAAAAAAAAGAGGATTCAAGAAAAATGTACAGTGAAATAGTTAGAGAAGCAGTGAAGTGAGACAAGAAGTCGTGAAGTGAGACAAGAAGTCGTGAACTGTGGAAAACAAGAGATATGTAGACTAGTAGACGAGGGTGCCTAAGTAAACCCTCTTTACTTAAACTGATTTTAGACTTCCATGATTCATCAGCTTTCACAAACCACTTAAGGTCTGGAGAACTTTTCTACGATCTACTGTTGTAAATGAATCAGTTACATCTGTACTACCTAGACTGTGGGTTTTTTGACTTTTAATTTATATAATTTTCCAATTAAATCTTTTGTGCTTTAGTTGACCTTCAGTTGTTTGCTATATCTTTTATGATATTTGTAATATATTTTGCTAATGCTGAACCTATACTATCTCTGATCGATCCAATTAATTTCATGCTTTTCTCTATTTTATGAACTTTCAATTGGTCAAGAACAATAGGTATTTTCTTGATTACTAATAACATATCCATGGTATCTTCGTCGATTTCTTCCTTTTCTATTAACTTCGATATTAGCATTTCTAACTTCTTGTGAATGAACGTTGACGGATCATCATTTAACTGCCTATAATTCTTTTATGTTATTCTTCTTTTAAGTTATTCTCTGACTACTTGCGTTAGATGTGTCGGTCTTACTTATATTATACTATTATCGTCGCCAGAAGTCATGGCACACGGATGTTTTTTGAATAACTTTCGATAGGAACAAGACAGAGGCCCGCGGTTTTCAATGTTCGATAGCCAAGACCTTAAGACGTGTTTTCATTAGCAAAAATTTGTTTCAGAAAAATTTCGAAGAGTAAGATCTTTGGAAAACCAGCTCCGTTCTCAGAAAACTAACATACAAAGTTAGTAATCTTTTTGCATGCATAGGTAGTCCCGACGTTATTCTTCAAAATTATAGAAGCCCAGCTCTCTAGTTATCGTCGTTTGGACAGGGCTCGCCTTCCCCGAGCGCGAGTTTACCTTCCAGGAGATATCTCTGGAAATCTCGAAATGCTATGGAATATAGGTAATCGGCTACACTGAGCATTGTGACAACATTTGTCTTTGTGTGGAAATGAAAATAACTTTGCCAGAGGCATTTTTGTGAAAACCGGTTTTTCGCTTCAGCAAAAACTAAAATCCTTATATCTAGGTCAAATATCATGTTGACCCAAAGAAATTTTCAGGAAATACTTAAAAGGCGTCAGTTATTGCTGATCAACTCGAAAAACTGGTTCTCCAGAATACTGAGGCTTTGGGGTTTTCCAGGAGGTTTCTCAACTTGCATAATTTTGAAGAATAACGTTCGGACTACCTATGCATGCAAAAAGATTACTAACTTTGTACGTTAGTTTTCTGAGAACGGAGCTGGTTTTCCAAAGATCTTACTCTTCGAAATTTTTCTGAAACAAATTTTTGCTAATGAAAACACATCTTAAGGTCTTGGCTATCGAAAATTGAAAACCGCAGGCCTCTGTCTTGTTCCTATAGAAAGTTATTCAAAAAACATCCGTGTGTCTTGACGTCTGGCGACGATAATAGCAATTTTCAGTCAAATGCGACCAAGATGTTATCTACTGGTGGTTGTGTATTTAAATTCTTCGTCAAGTTATAGGTAAAGTTAGTTAGTAGGTAAAGAAGTGCATCAATGGTTGAGGTCTTAGGCGTAAAACCAAACTGGTTATTTGAAAAACAGTTGTGTGAATTAAGATGGCTAGAAAGTTGATTATAAACAAATCTTTCAAGAATTTTACTAGCGATACTAAGGAGGGATATTGACCTATAGTCAGACACAATATTTTTAGGGCCCTTTTTACAGATCGGGTTGACTGTAGCAACTTTCCATTTATTAGGAAATTCTCCTGTTTCAATGGATAATTAAAAAATATGGTGCAGCTGTATAGAAATGGATACTGACGTTTTCTTTTAATACAATCGCTGGGATTTTGTCTGCACCGCATGCAGTATTTTCGCGTAGGCTATTGATAGCATCGAGTATTCCCTCAACAGTTAGATGTACAAGGTTCAGTACTGATGTTGGGCTGAACTTTGATAGTAGAATAGGCATAGGTCCAGCTGTGGAAACGCTAACAGTGGAGAAATATTTGCTAAATAAGTCTGCCTTTTCCTGATCAGTTAAATCTGTATCTGTACCGCTGGACAAGGTGGCAGGAATGTTAATACTTGGTTTGTTTTCAAGGCTTGTGCAATTGCTTTTGCCCCTTCAGATGACATATTGTTCCTCCGGATATCGAGACTTGCTAATGTTTGGTTCGTTTTCAAGGCCTCTCCAATTGCTTTTGGCTATTGATCTGATATATTGCTGTAGCCAATGTGAAGAGTTGCTAATGTTTGGTTTGTTTTCAAGGCTTGTGCAATTGCTTTTCCCCTTTATTTGATACGTCGTTCTTGCCAATGCCAACAGTTGTTAATGTTTGGTTTGTTTTTAAGGCTTCTGCAATTGCTTTTCGGCGATAATAATAAGTAGTTTCGTAGCATTAAAGGTTTAGTAGAAATTTCACAAAACCTTACGATTTCGTATCGCATTAAACACTTCTTCGATGAAAGAAGAATATGTTGAAAAACCAATAAACAATTAGTAGCAGATATTTATTAGTCTTAAGATAGTTATCGAAAAGACGTTGTCTGTTTGAAACACACGATTTATGTGAATACCATTAGATCGAACTATTTTTTCTCGGTTGTGAGTGGCCTAATACAGAAATCAATAAATGACAGAATGTGAAAGATGAATATTTTATTTCTTTGCTTTTTGCATGAACAATAGCCTACTTCATGGCGGAAAGTTAGATCTACTATCTTTCCATACCATTCCTTCCTTGGTTAGTTAAACCAAGTTT